AAGATCAAGACCAACTGACGATTCATTCGCGAGAGAACAGCAGTTTGTCAACAGCTACAATACCTGTTGATGAACTGGAGAGTAAGAAAGACTCGAAGTTGAAGGCTGAAGAAGAATCTTCTCGAAATAAACTTCAGTACAGTGAAAAGTTGCAAGACCGCATAGTTGAAGAAATGACGAAGAATGCCGACGAACGTGGGGGTGCAGTGGTCAATGAAGTTCTCGTTAAGAATCTGCAATTTGAGCAGGATCTGCCGGAAAATCCGGTCGAGCAAACGAGACCGGATCATGTTGTACAGCAGGTGAATTTTCACAATATTTTGTGCGACGATTATGAAAACGAGAAATTGAAGAACAAGAAGATGTATATGACAAAGGAGGAAATGGAACATCAGAGACTAATGGATATGTTGAAGAGAGGAAATTTCGAGACGCTGAAAACGGTGAGTAATACTGTAATTTTTTTATAATAGATTAGTAAATTGCGATAGTTCGATGGTTCTCGTTATGCAAAAAAAAAAAAAATGTGAAAAATGTGAATATGATGTAAATTATATGAATTAATTAATCTTTTTAACAAATCGTTAACGAAATAAATTGCTACATTATCAGTTGGTTAGTTATTCAACTATATATTATCATTTTGCTAATATATGTATATCAACATTAATAATAGAGACAATATATACTAAATATAATTAATTTCCAGCATTTAAGGAAATTGTTATAAAAATTATAACCGATTTATATATATTATTTTCTTTTTCAATTAAAAACAAAATATTTTCTTTGAATAGAAATACCTGCCAAAGATTTGAAAAAATATAACATTGTATTAAATATAGAAAAAAATGTAAAGTACAAATATAAAAAAAGATAAAATAATTTTGAAAAGTATTCGTCATCAATACGTACCTATATATATATTATTAAAATAATATAGTATACGTAATATATAATAGAGTAATGTTTATTTAATACATAAAATAATTGATAAAAATTTTATAAATTTATTACTTAATTAACAGTAATCTCTTAAGATGTCTTAAGTCATCGTGAAACATCAAATAACAAATTAACTGTGTGGTATGACTGACACTTATCCATTTTAGGGATTCACACTGGTCAGAAAAAAAAGAGATTGTCCGCGGTCGAAATTCAATCTCGGTGAATTGACACACGATGCATTGGTATCGTATTGATTGTTTTCACCGCCACAAACTCTATCTCGTTTTAATCGCGATAAAACTCGCCGACAAGATATACCTGACAGTAACCCAATAATTACATACATGATGCTACACGATAGTCTGTGCGACGAATCCGCGGCTCTGTCGATAATTACAAGTCCTGTGTATAATCGCGGTTGTTCGTTTCGTTCGGCTCTTTATTTCAACCCGGTAAACAAATTGCCATTAACAATGACCCCAATGTTTACGTATCACCGCGTTATCAATGAATGGACAATTATTTAACAACGCGAATTCTAACTTCCTGAATTGCGGTAATGTGAACGAAATTAATCGAGAGCTAATTATAATATATCATAATAGAATAAATATGAAATTATAATATTCTGCAGAATCAAAGCTATATAGCCATTATAAAAAAATAGATAATTAGTTGTTTAAAAACTATTGTTTATAGCCGTTTATGATCACGACGCTATATCTCTAAAAATTATGAATTGGTATTATCTCTAATAATCTTTAAGATTAATTGATCCTAAATAATTATGAGCGCATAAATATATAAAGTATTATACTAAATTTTACGTACTCAATACACATCCTAAAAATAATTTATATTCATGATTTAATTCCAGTTTAATTTTATCGCATTAACGCGCTTTATTTTATCTCAACTTGTTTAATTATTTTTCTCACATTAAGAATAAACTAATTTATCAAGATCATTATCTATTTATGTAAACTATTTATATAAACCATATAGAGATAAAATGTAATTTTGTGTCGCATTATACATCAAATCGCGCATGTTATTATGTGAGTTATAAAAAAATGAATCGCTAATAAATTATTTTATACATATAAAAGCGTCGTCGGAATAAGCGTAATCACATGCCTCTTAACAATGTGTGTAGTTGTCATAAAAGAGGGTTGTGACGTAATGTAATTATCAAGTTTCTGCGCTGTGGTCGCCGTAAACGTGATGTAATGGGGTTTGTGCGCGTGTCTCAGTATATCAAATTCTCCCAGAGGGAGTGATATTTCATTCCCGGCGGGGAGCAGAAGGATAATTCGTAGGACCCGAAATAGGGATACGTGAAAACATTTCATCATCAATAGCCAATATTTCGGTACTGACAATGTGTTATTCCATCATGATGCCTATTCATTCATTAGATCGACAATCCAAAAAATGTTATATATTAGACTTTTCCCCGATTGTGAGTTAAAATTTGCATTTTATAACTCGTGACAATTTCAATCTCAATTCAGGATTTTACTGATTATGAGATGTGATAAAATATTGTGAAATGTAATGAAAAAAATAGGATTAAGTCTTCAAAAATCCACGAAATGCGAACATATAGCGATGCAGCTTGCACTCGTGTCTCGAGTAGCTCGTAAACATGCGAAGGGCAAAAGCGAGTGGTAAAAGCTCGCGTAAGGTACATGAAGTAAAGATTCAAATAACTAGCGCGAGAGCGAGTAGAGATAGTAGAACTCGTACATTCGACGAGAGCAAGCAAGCTTGGACGTTGCTGCACTTGAAGGTGTACGAAGATCTTCTGACTAGTATAAGAAATAAGAGTGACCATGGTGGATCGAGGATCAGAGGACGAAAGTCCGAGAGAGCAAAGGAGAGAGCCGTACGATTTATGATTCGACCCAGCTGGGAACCAAGCATAAGGTATGCGGTTCATAGTACGCTTTAACGCGCAAGAAAGATGCAATAAATTGTTCAACGTGTGCAAGTACGTCTCGGGTAGCCGGGGGTATAAATGCGAGACTCGCCCTCGAGATTCGGTCGTCTGGTGCTCTTTCTTTCTCTACAAAGTTGACCTTCAAGGACGTAATAAACTCATTTTCTTCTGTCTGCGGTCAGCACGAGCATGCAAATTGTGGTCTAACACGCTTTTCAGACATCGCTGATAAAAAAAACCGATTTCTTTACTACGAGCAAAAAATGCGAGCAAAAATGCAATTTCGTACTTGTATATTAAAAATAATAAGTGTAATTTTACATTTTTGTCAGATATTATATCTATCCGTAAATAAATAAGAGTCAAATATATATAAATGTATATGACTCTTAGTATTTAAAATATAATGAAAAGGTAAAAGGCTAACAAGAGTCAAACATCTATTATATAAATACAAACAAATAAATTGAATCAATGCTAATGTATTAACAAATCCACATATAAATTAAAAATTAACAAACAAATTAAAAATTAATAAAATAATAAAAGCGTTGGATAATACGAAAAACATTAGCATTGATTCAATTTATTTGTTTGTATTTATATAATAGATGTTTGACTCTTGTTAGCCTTTTTATAATATTTTAAATAAGAGTCTGTGAATTTAAACATTCCTGTTCTATACTTAACTTCTTTCTCAATTAATCCTTATAGTAGACACAATTGGATCATTATTCTGCACATTCCTTCTCCGGAAAATTACCATCAAGTAATTAGTTGTATTATAATATTTATATATAATTTTTTAAATACACAACCTCATAATACATACGAATATATAAAAACATGTTAAAATATATGTAAAAATCATTTAATTTATGTGTACATTTAATTTATTTGTAAAAGTAATAAAAAAATGAACTTGAGACACAAACGATCTATCGTGTGTAGCAAAGGATTGGAGAATTGTCGTGCTAATTTTATCATTATTTAAATACCCTTGTAAGATAATAATAGAATAGAAGTTATATACCTATGTAAAATACAAAAACAATTAATATCGATGTTTTTTTGTCACTCCTATCCATTTTTTCTCGCTGACTATCTCGATGCACCAACTCTGAATTTGACATGCTAGATGAGTGGCGCAATTCCTGCAGCCGTTATACGCGGGAACGTATCGCCGTAATGCATGCATCAACGATTTGTCGTCCAATATAGCCCTCTCAAAAGTTCATCGTGCTCGCGAAAAAGGCGTTTAGACGAATCGCGATTCACTAGTTTGAATCGGTCATAAAGCCGGCATTCACTCGCGAATGTTAATGGAACAGATTAATATGACGGTTTATCCTGGTTCAACGCAAATTCAAGCAGATTCTTTCACCCCAGCTCTCGAGCTACGATTAAAGTCCAAGCGCGCTGTCAACCACAGTTTCTCAGACGGAAATTTAAGGCATTCGATTATTTGCTCGGTTGACAACTTCTACATTCAATTTTTTTTCATCCAAACCAGAATTTGCATTTTGTAACTGACGTGATGACCTCGAATAAGTCTCAAAACACGATTCACAATAACGATAATAATGTAATAATGATTGTTTAATTATGCAATTATTCGTAACACTGTAAAATACTACTAAACATTATCATTTATTTATTCATAAAAAATATCTTACTTTTGTACAATTTTCTGTATTTCACTAATATCTAGTATTAACAAAAGCTTTCGAATTTTATTTGCACGACACAGATCGAATGAACGAAGTCGCAATTATAAAAAAATCTAAAGCTTTTCATAAGTCTATCTTAAAATTATCACAAAACTAAGAAATTACTTTAACAATAAGTTGTCACTAAATTCATATAAAAATTCAAGAACATTGATGGAGTGTTGTAAATAAAATTTTTAGACAATGAGATTATACATATAATTTATGTAAATAACTTACTCGCTTTCTCTTTCTCTCGTATTTTCTCCTTTTTTTTATCCATAGATTAATTAAATAAGTTATTATATACTTTATCTGTAAAAGAAACAACCCTTAGTCTATCAAAAATCAAAATGAAACAGATTTCATATTTAAAATTTGTTTACGAATAACCAAATTTTTTAAAGCATTTGACGTGAAACATTTTTCAAAAATGTAGTAAAATCTTCTTCTGGTTCCAGATGCAAAAGTTGACAGGATACATTCCATAGTTTTTCAGGATATTGATCATTGTTTGCATTTCGATATAGAGTGGCAACACCGCAATTTCTGAATAGAAAAAAAAATAATTCGGAATTGAAAATATATACGTATATGGTATGGAAAAATGAAATACACAAACCCGAGTGTACAATGTCAGCATTGCTCGAGCCATGTTAACATTGCCCAATCCAATCATGGGCAATATTGATATGGCCCGGATAAAGTCGACACTGCCTACTATGCGGACTTTGTCCGTCTTAGCTTAATCTTCAATAAATGGCACACAACCAGAACTAGATCGAACCGGCTAGTAACAAAAATGCCGCACTAGGCGGCGAGTAACGTAAAGTCTTAAAGAATGACGCAATAACCCGCGAAAATGGCGAGAACCGCTCGAACACCAGGCGCCTGCGTCCACGACGTCGTCACGCCGCTAATACGCGCGTCAGGACGAACGAACGGGACATCCAAAATCGCGGGATCGCTAGGCGGATTTTGAGTAATCGCAAGGCACAGTCAAAGTCGGTAACACTTTTCAAAAAATATAACGGAAACAATTGTCCGTCTAAGACGGATGATGTAACAAGACTTGGATTTCGCCAGTGACTACCATTGTTCGATCAAAACAATTTTTTGCAGAAATATTCTAGTTTATATCTTAAAGATCTTTGTTTGATGTTGAACACGATACGGTCGTAAGAATTTGCGTAGTATGTATACTACATTAAAATTTTATTTATCCAAATTTATTTTAAAAATCTTGATATATGTTACGCAAATTATGACAATGGCATAGTATTTGTTTAAAAAAGAAAAATACTTATTCGTTTTGTGTGTGTGCCAAAAAATGTTGAGAATGTTCAAAAACATTATCTTTGACTTTGAATTAAACATGTAATTATACTTTATCACTTATATATTAATTAAATATTAGGTTGATGCATAATATCAGTATTTACTTTTCCAAAAATTAATCAAATAAAATAATTATAATAATAGACGAGCAAGTGACTTACTTTTCTAATTTGGTTCAAATGACAAACAACTGTTGATTGGTCGAAAACTATTGATTAATATATATTAGTATTGTCGAGTGGTTTTTAATTGATTTGCTTCGATAATTGTCTTCAAGGTGTTATAAGTCAATGGCTATAGAAATAGACTGTCCCCGATCCTCTTCATTTTCAAGGCCTTCATCTTCGTTATGGAATTTTATCATCATTGTACTGTCCGTTCGTTTGTAGTTGTCTGGCCAAATGTTCTATTAATTTTTTCGACTCAGATTTGCTTCTTTGTGACATTTAATAGTAATAATAATAATTAGTCACATAAGGTAACACCAAAAATAAAATTACTAAAACAATTAATGAAGTAAAACCTGCTCTATTAAAAATAATATCATATAAATAAATTAAACATATCTGCTTTTATTGTAGAATAAAGCACTAAAGTTTAAAACAATAAAAACCAACATTATTTTTACATCAATGTAGTATTAACAATAACAAGAAAGAAGGAAGCACAATGCGAAGCCTATCGGTCAAAGCTAGATCAAGATGCTTATTATCATTAAGTGTGAATTTATATACCGCGTATGTAGTTCTGTCAATCGCGTGCCGAACATTTTTTCAGACTTACAACGCAACTCTAAATAACTACCGCGGTAATATCACTATAGTTAGATTGACAATACAATCTAACAAATTTCGATGCTTATAGCATCTTATTAGATCTTAATAATATGTTGAAAGACATATATTAAAATTCAATATTAAAGTAATGATAATTGAAATCTGTGAAAAATAAGATTGCGAAGAATATCACAAGTTGGCGTTTCGTCCCGGCTTCCACTACTGGACTCATCAGTAAGGTAATGTAGTGGGAGCCTACCTTAGACGCCGGTGTAAGTTATTAAATCGAGACTCTATATAAAGAGACATACGTGTATCTCAGCACTTGCGAGAAATTTAACGAATATCAATTGAATAGACCTCTGATGGCGAGTCGACGTAATAATTTTGGTAGTATTAACAATCGCGGACTCTCATACAGACAATTACTTATATTTGATTTATTCTTAAAAAACTACAAAATTGTTTTTATTTTAATATAATACTTACGAGTAATAAAGTCCCGTCGTATTGGCTGTTTCTTCATCTACACAACAATATATTGTTGTTTGCGCTCCTTGTTCAGCATTTTTATAAAACAAGTACGCAAATGCATTGTAACAAGAAGTTGCACCCGGAAATATTGTATTACTCGAATACTGTGATATCTCACTTGGTACAATACCAGGATGTAAAGAGTACACGTTTATTCCGTGGATGTTTGACGCTAAAAATATAAATATTGTGTTAGAATCTACCTTTTATTACATATTTTTTATTACATAGTAAATAATTAACGATCAACTAACAATTCTTAAATATTAAAGAAGTAAATAAAATAAATGTGATTTTCTATTTTCTATTTTTTCAACGTTTGCTTTTCCAGCCCACCTTTCAATCGACGAGCGAGTTCCTTGGTGAATAAAATGTTGGCTAATTTGGTTTGCATGTAACTTTTACATGGTGCATAAGATCTCTCTAAATTGATATCATCGAAGTCTATGTCAGCAACTATAATAAAATGTTTCTATTACAATTGTACTTTAAACGAGAACCCTAACTATAATAAATAAATTATAATATACCTAAATTATTTTTCATTTTTAAAGTACACGATAATCGTTCTACGTACAAATATAAGTAAGTGATGAGACATTGATTATTCTACAATTGGGAGAAGACAGTTGCATTTTTGGCAACAACAGAAGTGTTAAAAGAAAATGACCAAGATGGTTGACTTGCAATGTCGTTTGAAATCCATCTTCCGTCTTCTCATTTGGATACGCAGCCACACCAGCATTATTTATGAGTATGTGAATATGTGCTTCGTTCGTTAACAAATTTTTAGCGCAATTTCTCACGCTCTTTAAGCTACGTAGATCCAGAGGATAAATAGCAAGTTCGCCTGCGTTATTTTTATATTTATCTTTGTTGATACTAAAATAGTCATAGATTTATAAACCATGACATTTTGTCAACATATAAAAATTTAATTAAAATAAGGAAAAAAAATTTCATAAGGAAAAAAATGAAAATTAAAGCATATGTAATAAATTTAATTAATTCTTGTTCTCACAAATTTATGTACTTACTGCGAAGGTGGATTATTTTTTATATCTTCAATTGCTTCATTTGTCTTTTCCATATTCCTACACGCCAGAATTACTCTAGCGCCTAAATGCATATTTCATTTATACAAGTGTATTTAAAAATATAATGAAAGATGATACCAGTTGACTCGTACGATAAAAATCTAAGGTAGTGAAATTGCCTTGTCAAGTCATGTACAGAGGATGTTGGTGTGTGATGATACGATATATTTATTATAAAATGTACAATTTTTCTCTAACGTTCTCTAATGTCACGAACACTAGACAAGAATACTTTCAATTTATTATATCTAATATTCATAGCCTGTAAGTTATTTGCACAAATTTTATATTATAATCATAACAATTATTCTATTTATAATTACAATTATTCTTCTACACATAAATGTAATCTGACCTTTTCATTATTAACATTAATTTATTTTATACAATCTCTCATTGTCATGATGTATCTTTTGATTATAAAGTGTTCCAGGCAGCACAATGACTATGTTATATTAGATTTCTTTAATAAGGATCCAAACCGAGGATCGAAACACGTTAGAGAAAAATTGTACAATTTATAATAAATATATCGTATCATCACACACCAACATCCTGTATACATGACTTGACAAGACAATTTCACTACCTCTGTATTTAAAAATATATTTTATTAGGTTGTTCAAAAAATTTTTAAGGATTTTAGGAGTAAAATGAAATATGATTTATTAATATTGTATTTAAATGTACTTTTATTCAATAATTTGATATTTTTTTCCATGATTTATTATCTTGTGGGTAATTTTATTACTTTATCATTTGCCTAAAACTTCATTTGACCTGAGGCTTTCACTGACATTGTTTTCAAAAATACCAAGTTTGCGGACAACCGCCGTCTTTTTATTTATTGCTAATGCCAACCGTTTTGTGAACCTTGCTGTTCACTTCATCAAGGCGAAGAGCGAACTGATATTTCTAAAATGGCAAAAATGCTGACTAAACAATATTTTTGTATTTTGTAAGTAGAACATCACATCATAGTGCCATAAATGCACTTTTAGCCTTTTTCGAAATAAATGTTTCAAACGCGTAAAATGTAAAGTGTAAGTTGAAACATTATCTTTGAAAATATACAAGAAATTTTAACATAAAACACGATATGTTTGCAACACTATCTTTTAAAAATCCATACAAATTTTCCGAACAACCTATAACATTCATAGAGTTGTGAAAAAAGATTGTAGAATTTTAAAGCGAAGAATAATCATAAAAGTTTATTCCAGTAAAAAATGAGTGTTTTTTTTTCTCATGAAATGTTGTTATATAGATTATTATAACAAAGTATTAAAAGTTATAGTGTACGCTCGTAAATAACAAACATTCAATCATAATACTTATGTAATTTGGCATAATCATCGTCCAATCAATAACGTAAATTTATATTCCATTTATATAAAATATCTATTTAAATTTCAATGTTCAGTATAACTTAAATTATCATTTAAGTGAAATTACCTCTGGCGTATAAATCTCTAGCAGTTTCCTTGCCGATACCACTACTAGCTCCGGTTATTACAACGGTTTTGCAATCAAGACGTGTTTTGCTCGTACACATTTTATTGAGGCACCACATTTTATAATACTTTTTTATCCACGATGTTACCAATATACTATTGATTATTTCTGTTAAAATTCATTCACTATCACTTTCACGCTGAATGCAATGTATTCGCATCAAGACGTTTGTCGACTGTAGTTACATGCTCGAACGTTCGAGTTCTTATGGACTATCGAGTTAAGGTTGTAAGATTTTATTCTACTTCCATTTGAGTCACGGACAAATCAAGTGCGAGTATAACATTTACGCGGTTATATAACAGTAGAAAGGAGTGAAATAGGGTACCGCACGTTACGAACAATCGCGATTTTCGCGGCAAATATGGAAAACACAGATATGTTATATTGAGTATATTCCTTTAGAGCCTATCATACCCATGCATGCGTAGAACACAGTATACATTTGGAGTTCATTTTACATAAATTTATATGTGTGTAAAGAGTTACTAATAGTAGGTATACTATAGTACATAGAAGTCTGCACGGGATAAAATTTAAAATTAGTCTTCCAATATTATCGAAGATCTTTGCCGTAAAGATGCTATTGAAAAATGTTAATTTTTACTGCGCGAATCACGAACATTCCCAAAATTAAATAAACTCCCTGAACATTTTTTATCTTTGCCGCAAAAGATGCTAATTGAAATCGAAGACTAATTCAGTTTTAAAAATCGTCAGAAATTGAGAATTTCGAACAATCTGGAGTATATTTAATCTATATATTCATATATGACTGCAGCTATCTCGTGAATATATATTCATAATTATAATATATATTAAAGCATTATATATTTCATAGATTATCTCGTTTCTTTTGCAAATATTGGTTCGTTTTTTCCTCACTCCGTTCGTCTGCGTATGTATCAAGATCAATAAATATATGTAATTGAAAGTAACCGTGATTAATATGAGAAAGAGAGTGTTACCTACGCCTATGTAATAAGCGACACGACATGCACGGCTAGGCAACGACCTGCCTGTCGACAATTAGAAGGTCGACACCAGTTGTATACAGACATTCAATAGAGACACTCGCATATACCGATCGGCAATTTTCTAGTATTCTCGTATTCGTGTTATTACTTAATTTCATATTAAAACTAATTGTAAGTATTGTGAAGAACACAACAGAGAGAGAGAGAGAGAGAGAGAGAGATTTTTTTTTTTTCAAGTTATTCCTGTTTACAGATAATTGTCCAGATAGTTCACATAAAGACATAATAAAATTATCATATATGTACGCAGTATATAAAATCGCGCGCTTGGCTTAGCGCCGAGACACTACCGTGTCTCCAGACTGTTTACAGATAATTGTCCAGATAGTGCACATAAAGATATAATAGAATTATCATATATGTAAGCAGTATATAAAATCTAACGTTATATAAGATGAGGCATCTAAAAGGCCATTTATAAATAACTCCCTTGTTTTTGATAATAAGAAAAAAACGTTTCAGATAAAAATGAAATAGTTTCAAGGGGGACGTGTTTTCGTCACGTTGTTTTTTGTTTAAATGGAAGCACCAAAAAGATATGAAGATCATCTCCATTCTGTTAAATGGAATTACATGACTTTTTTAAAATAATAAATATAATTTCTTTAATATTGCATATAAAAATATGAAGGTACAGGTACATAAAAAAAAATTCAATGCTTATAAACTTACAATATATTCTAATTATAATTAAGAATTGTGTATAATTTATTCTACTTATGAATGATAATTTTTAATTGACATTTTCGTATTAGAATTTGTCTTTGAATATTCCAAATAATCTGCTTTCAGGATTATCCTCAGGAATTGTCCGGACGATTAGACTTACACACAAACAATTTACGTGTTATCAGTACACCTTTTTCTTTTCAATGGCGCAACATCCTCCTACTTGGGATCGAACCTACTTCTCGTACGCATGCCCACGGTGCGCACAGAGGTATACAAAGACATACGAGATTTACAATTTAACGTCGGTTCCGAACGGTAGATTTGAGAAGTTTTCTTGTCAATAGATACTCTTGGTGGTTTGCCAAACCGCCGAAGAAGAGTTACGAGCATTTGAAAAATTTTTTACATTTACCGGGATCAAATCGGAGTTCCCTAATAAGGTAGACTCGCGCGTAAGAATCACTGATTTTTCACTACATCAAACTCATGCATGCCATACCTACATATAAATTTTCGTACAACAATTACATTTTAATTAGACGTTTAATTCAAGCTGTTTCTTCATACAAACTACTAATTTGTAGATTACTATTTTGTAAGTACAGATTGCACAGTTTCATATGAGCAAATGCTATCATTACGACGCGACAGCTCTGGAGTGTCATATTGGACTAATTGTAAGAATGGTAAAAAAAGTATCAATTTTGAAATTTTTGATAATTCTCGACATAAAACTTCATCTGACAGACTGCTATTAATGAGTATACTTTAATTCTGGAATTGGATTTTCGAATTCTAAAAGGAAAAAAGTAATTATTATACAAAAATGTATGTGTTTAGTCGGTATTACAGATGACTTTAGGCTCCCCTTGCGTTAAAAGAACAAATGTTGATTATAGCACATTCTATATATTGATAAAAAATAATGAAAGAATAACAACTCATTCTTTATAAAATAAAATACGGCCTGAATAAAAACTAAAAATCCTTAGTGTGTGTATCATTCACATATCTAGACATTTTAAAATTATTTTAATACACGAATTAAATAAAAAAATATTTATTAGATATATACATTTATTAAAATATACTTTTATTTATAGTTGATATATTAAACGTTTTATTTATTAAAGATTAAAAAATATATATTATTTATTAAAAATTTTCATGATTCACTAAAGTATAAAGAACTTTTAATGCAATTGACGGGAAACGGTTTCTAAAATTGTGGTAAAATCTTCATCTGGATTCAGATGTAAAAGTCGACAAGATACATTCCATAACTTTTCGAGGTATTGATGCTCGTTTGCTATTCGACATGAAGTGGCAATACCGCAATTTCTAAAGATAAAAAAGAGATGTAATGCAAAATAAATTTATTACATTTACATTAAAAAAAAGTAAATTCTTGTAGAATATGTAATATATTCTTACGAATAATAAAGACCAGTCTCATTCGCTACCTCTTCATCTATGGAACAATATATTGTTGTTTGCGCCCCTTGTTCAGCAGTTTTATATAACAATCGACCAATCATATTATTAATAAAGAAACGAAAACCTGGAAATAGTACCTTATCAACATGCCATAGTAGTCCGGTCGCAACAATACCAGGATGTAAGGAGTATACGTTTATCCCATGAAGATTTGCCTCTATAAATCAAAATCATTGTGTACGAGTTTATATACCTATATATTTTCGATATATTTTTCCTTTATTATTAATTAAATCATTAATGATTAATTAGTAATTAATATTATTAATTAAATTGGTATTAAATAAATGTCACTTAACATAATTCTTAATAATACAGCTTTTCGCCATACCTTTCAATTTACGAGCAAGTTCCTTGGTGAATAAAATGTTCGCCAATTTAGATTGTGCATAACTTTTGAACGACCCATACGATCTCTCCAAATTAATATCATCGAAATCTATATCAGCAACTATAATAGAAGATTTGTGTGCAACAGAAATAAAATAACTCTTTTAATCTTGACACGATTTAAAAGTGTTGATAATGTATGTAAATAAAAGATATCTGTACAAGATGTTTAATGAAAAACTGTATAAAGTGGATAGCTCCAACTTATTGATATGAATCATATTTATGATATAATTTTAATATTTAAGAATTTTTTACAACAATAAATCAATAAATTTGCTCTATTATTCATAATATTATTAATAATAAATAACAAATTAATAAAAAAGAAACAATGACTCGCTATATAAAAATAAACTAAATGTTGTTAAGGGCGATTAAAGAGTCAGTAAGAATTTTCGTTTCACAATAAAATATATAATCAGTCATTTTCAATAAAATTAATTCTAACAATACCCGATATTAAATCGTCTACAAACAACCATAATAATACAATAAAAATATTAATATAAAAAAATATATAAAGAACGTTACAGTTTCGGCTCTCAGATTGAGCCCTCTTCAGACATGAAAATTCTGAGGACAAAATCAATAGCTAAAAAATCGTTCAAGCCGTTTCCATTTCTGATGCTGTGAGTCCTCATTGAAAAAATCGACATTAAAGTTTCACACGTTGAAAAGTCGTATGCATGACAATATTTCAATAAAATCAAACAAATTAAATCCGCAATAATGTTATTTAGGTGTGTAGGCATGGTTACAATAATATACGTTAATCAAATGCAATAAAAACCAAACAATTGAAAAGAACTCTTTGCAACAATTATGGACATTGTGTAAGAACGATTTATGTTGAAGAAATGATGTAGACAAACACATTATTGTTAACAATAATATACATTAATAAAAAACCAAACAATTGAAAAGAACTCTTTGCAACAATTATGGACATTGTGTAAGAACGATTTATAACGTTGAAGAAACGATGTGTTTGTCTACATCGTTTTCAATTGTTTGGTTTTAATTGCATTTGATTAACGTATATTATTGTAACCATGCCTACACACCTAAATAACATTATTGCGGATTTAATTTGTTTGATTTTATTGAAATATTGTCATGCATACGACTTTTCAATCGTGTGCAACTTTAATGTCGATTTTTTAGCGATTGATTTTGTCCTCAGAATTTTCATGTCTGAAGAGGGCTTAATCCGAGAGCCGAAACTGTAACATTCTTTATATATTTTTTTATATTAATATTTTGATTGTATTATCATGGTTGTTTGTAGACGATTTAATATCGAGTATTGTTAGAATTAATTTTATTGAAAATGACTGATTATATATTTTATTGTGAAACGAAAATTCTTACTGACTCTTTAATCGCCCTTGACATTTTGTTTATTAATAATAAAAATATATTGAATTATTAATGACGATTATGTCAGTTATAATAAGATCTAATAAATAAAAAACATCTGCCTAGTTGGCCATCCCACTTAACCAAATCTTAATAAAAAAAATTATATAATAATGCGCTATTTATGCATTATCGGTCCGTATTCATTATGAATCTATAAACTCGCTCTAGATTATTCATAATATTATTAATAATAAAAATACATTGAATTATTAATGACGATAATGTCAGTTATCATAAAATCTAATAAACAAAAATTAGTCTTGTTTATTTTTAAAGTTAGTACAATATCACATTACTTACAGATATGTACAACTGATGAGACATTGACTATTCTGCAATTAGGAGAAGACTTTTGCATTTTTGGCAACAGCAGAAGTGTTAAAAGAAAATGACCAAGATGGTTAACTTGTAGCGTTGTTTCATGTCCGTCCTCTGTTTTTTCGTATAATGGACAAGCCACACCAGCATTATTTATGAGTATGTGAATAGCTGTTTCGTTCGTCAACAAACTTTTAGCACAATTTTTCACACTCTTCAAGCTACATAGATTCAGAGAATAAATCGCAAATTCACCTGCGTTATTTTTATATTCGTTTTTGTTGAGCCTAAAATAGCCATACATTTACAAACTACGTCAATCTTTCAACATATAACAATTTAATTTAGATTAATATAGTTTGATAAAGAGAGAGAAAGGGAAAATTAAAAGTATTATTTAATTGACTTAATTGATTCTTATTTTACAAATTTACTCATTTACCTTGAAGGCGGATTATTTTTTATATCCTGAATCGCTTCATACGCCTGTTCCATATTCATACAAGCCAGAATTACTCTAGCGCCTAAATCACACGTTATTTGTATAAGTGTGTTAAGAAATCATATTTTTTCTTAGATTATTCGAAAAGTTTCTAGATATATTAATGGTAAATTGAAACATAATTTATTATTTCAGGACATATTACACGTGTTTTTTAATAAATATATGTGTATATATATATATATAAATTACATTACAAATCATTTTTGCTAATTACACAGGGTTTGTTGTAAACTATGTTTTAAATAGAATTATTATAACTTTTACGATTAATAATACCGTAAAAAATGCATTATTTTCAGTCATTTAAAAAATCGTACGAAATACTCAACAAATCTGAGCAAATGTTGCTATAATGTGTAAGTTAAAACATTATCTTTCACAATGTCCGACATATAATTTGATGTAGAACGTGAAACGTCTGTGTGAATTGCACAGGGGAAGAATTAACTTTTAACAACCTCTCTTATAGGAACTTTTCAAACTACTTAATAGTTACAAATTTGTGAAAAAAATTTATATAATTCTAAATTAAGAAAATAATAACCAAAAAAGCCTATTATTCCATTGAAGACACGAATACCTGTTTCTAAAATATTGCTATATATAAAATGATACTATATGATTACATAACAATAACACTGTCCGACTGATTTTGTTGACTTCCAACATACATGAAGAAGTATTCTTTTTACGGTGAAAACAATGCTGTTCTTAGAATTTAGCCATCATGTCATATTTCTAAAAAAATTAAGCTAATGTAAGAGAAAAATGATGATTTTAACGCCATATTTAAAATATTATTATACAGTTAAGAAAATTTTATTTTGCTAACTTTGTTTAAAGTGTGTATCTTAAAGTTCTATCTTCTACCTTTAAAATGAGTTTCTTGTTGTTTTTGTACGATTTCTTATGATCAAGTTGTATAAGTTTGAAGTTATTACCATCTGATGCTTACTCGAAATTGCTTAAAATATGCGGTGTATCAGAATAATAAAAATACCTTACAATCAATTCTCTTGGAAATTAATTTTCTGTATCTGTCTCTTTGTAAGAAAAAATATAACCCTTGAACAAATAGAGAAGATTCCTGACGTAACTTTTTGAAATAAAATAATTAGCAAGGGTCAAAAAAGTGACTACTGTAATTACATCACGAAATACTTCTACAAATATTTTGTGTCGCACTAATCTCAGTTTTTTGTCTATAAAACAAAAAAAATTCTCATCACTATTACCACTATTGGAAGTTAATTACTTATAATATTCTTGTACAATCTTAAATTGTTTGAAAAAGATAACATTCTTTTATCTAAGATAAGATAAAGATAATCTATATTCTTAATAATCTAGATGAAGATAAGATAAAGCCATTTCTTCATCTAGATGATTATCTAGATAAATTTATCGAGATAACGAAAAACACTGCCATTGATAATCAGTGAATAAAATGCGAAATCCCTGACCTACCTAAATTTTATTACGTGATCTAATTAACCTTATTTTAGTGAATAAATTCAATTAATAATATTAGAAGATTGAAATTAACATGCAAATATCAGTATTTTAAGTATATAATATTCGAACTTTCTTTCTTTTTTAGTTGAACTTCACTGATTATCCAGTGCCAAGTATGCCACTGGGTTATCAGTATAGAACATATAATACTAGAAATGTACTAAAAATAACCTATCCAAATAGTGAGTGTAGGGTTACCAACCGTACTCTGTAAAGAGTACATGTACTCTTTTCGATGTCGGAAAACAGTGTACTCTTACTTTTCACTTATTGTACTCTTTTTTTAAAAATGAGACAGAATGTAAAAAATTATTATTTAATATTTATAAATTTATACGAAGTTATGCTTGGTTTGTATTAGGTTGTGTTCATATAGTTATTCATATAGGTATTCATATAGTCAGTTCTTATTTGAAGACTGTCTTAAAGTAATATCTTAAGATGCGAATGCGGCCCTCTAATTGGTTCGTGACACCTAAAGACTGTACATATATATACGTTTGATACATAAAAGATTGAGTTTTTTTTTAATTCGAATTAATTTTAATTTTCCAATTTTAATAATGTTATATGTACGAATATAGTCACTAAAACGCAAACAAATATTACTTTTATTATATCAACATATATTTGGATGTTACATTGCACACATATCATTTTATTGAATCCGGTAATCAAAAGAGAAAACCTTCTTCTACATTTCCTTTTTTTTTTTTTTTTTGAAAATGTACTCTTTTTCTGCGGCCTTGGGTTGGTAACCCTAAGTGAGTGGAAGATGTGAACAACGTCTGAGAAACAAAAGATGTAGTCTGTTCAATAAGAGCGTACGGTTCAGCACTTCATTGATAGATGATGCACACAGATGTTAAGTTTAGTTTTTCCGATTCTCTGAACAGTTCGGAAGAATTCTTTGAGGTTATATGGGTAATGTGACTTGTTTTGACTGTAACAGAGCAAATAACCACAATGAGTGCTGCGTATGCAAGTCGTTTTGAAACAGTGTTCCTTTGCACACATCTGAAAGGACCGAAAATGTCGTATGCAGCTGCCGGGCGCTACATGAAAAAGTCAAAAGGATTCGTCAAGAAGTGGGTGAAAAATTACAAAACGAAACAAAAGATGTCGACGACCTGCCGGAACGTGGCACCCGACAGTTAACGACGAAAAAGGACGACAAATCATCAAGATATTTGAGAAGAATCCTGGGTATTTATTACGACGAGCGAAAAATCTTTTATTGAAAAAAAGTATAGATGTGAGCCTTAATACTATTAGATTGCTTGACTCCGAATACGGTTGGCAATCTACAAAGAAACAGCCCGTAGGTTCTTGTTGAACAGACTGTATTTCTGATGTATTTCTGTATTTTTGTCCTGCTCAGTGTCTTTTCTTTTTTCTGCGCATATACGCGTGTTTTACAGGATAGAAAGATATTTCTGATCTTTAGATGATGCTCACAGTTCAACGTTTGAATTCATATTTCATTACTGTAAGTTCTATGGTAATCAGTGACTATCTAATGATTCAGATTTACAGAATACATATATTTCATTTATGCCATAAATAACATCTGCGCATCAGAAAGAAGATTTTATTTGAAGTGTAAGAATTTAGACAAATACAAAAATAATTTTGCTGAACCATCAAAATATATGTAGGAAACTCAAGTAAGACGAGAGCAATGCTGCAAAAAATATTGACATTCAGTTTGGCCGTCTTACACATTATTATTTTGATGGTCTTTCTATATACTTGATTTCAAAGTTTAGAATAACTTAAAATATCATCTCAGTTAAAATGTCAGTAAAATATCACCTCTTCCATATAAATCTCTAGCAGTCTCTCTGCCGATACCACCATCTGCCCCCGTTATCACAACAGTTTTACCCCTAAGACACGCTTGGCTCGTACACATTTTATTGAAAAACCACAGCATTTTAAAGTGTTTTTTTATTTATAACGTTACCAGTTGATTATCTTTATTAAAAATCATTCACTATCGATTTCACAGAACTTATTATATATTCGATTTTGCAGTGTGTTTTTATGTAGGAATCGATCTTATACAGTAATGCGACACACGTATCTCGAAAAATACGCTTTTAATAATAAACACGTTCATCCTCACTAATCACATATTATCTTGCTCTCCATCTCTCTCCTTCGGTCTTAACGCCCTCTCGTGAGACCGCGGCCTTATTTCTAGTGTCCGAGCCGCTTGTAGAAGAGAGAACAAATCTAGGGAGCGTGAGCAGTTTAATTTCATATGTAGTTATAGAAATATAAGATTCCTACAATTACGTACGTTTGTATATTCGTGTTCTTATATACAACTTGAAGCTTGCTCATTCTATCACATTCCTAGATTCTGGCTCATCTGGAGAATACAAATCTCTTACTAGATCAACATTTTGCTAGCGAACAGAGTAGAAAACAATAAATTGTAATACGCAGCAACTCTCGCAATGTGAAGCTTGCTAATATTATTGAAAATCTTTGTCACAAGACATGTTATTGGAAAATTTTGATTTTTAACTGCGAATATCACGAACGATCCCAAAATTAAATAAACTACAAATCTTCGATTTTCGCCGCAAGAGATGCTATGAAAACAACGATAATGATTCGAGCTTCATTAGAAACCAATATCAACATCAAGCAATTTGAAGCTATTTAGCGAGTACAAAATCAAATTTTTCTCGCTGCAATAACTATTAGGTACTCGCTTTCTCCGAACATTACCAATTATATGAACCATGTTGGGGCTGTGTTCGTTTTCCTCTCTCACGCTATAAGATTTATTCTATCTTTTTTCTGCAAGTACTGAGCAATAATAATAGGGTGAAGCTTACAGCGCGTGAAGATCAAAAGCGGACGCAGCCAATATGGTTGTCCCTCCAAAATAATTATATAAATTATAGTTATTTAAAAATCATTTTTTGTATTGTAATAGTAATTTCAACCATTCTTAAGGTTATTCTAACTATATGTTGATTTTTCAACATTACCAACTACATATGTATATTGGTTGATAGGATTATACATACAGTTTATTATTATTATTAATATATACTATTAACATTATTAGTACTAATACTGTAGTAGTTATAATCACACACATAATTATTGTAATATGCAATAATAATTACAAATACCAAACACACAGTTTTTCTTTCAGTGTATCTTGTTATAAAATATGACATGTTCACGCAAGATGCACTACCATATCTCTTCTAAAGCCCTATACAAAATTTTCAATCAAACTAATAATTTCTATAATATAAATAAATAATATAAATAAATCTTATTGGACCGTGAGAGTTTTAAACTAAATACCGAGATGAGAACATGTCGTAACGGTCAAGCTGGATCTTGGATGCTCCTAATTGTCCAGAAATCCGCGTTCGACACCCGGCCGAAGTAATATTTTTCGCAATGTAAATTATTAACAGATTCTTATAATAAGACATTCATATAATAGATTTTATCATAATGTGTCAACATTATTAAAATCCAAAATGCTATGTGCACCAAAATTGTTAGATTGTTACTCAATTTAACTTGTGATAGTACTGCGCTAGCGGTTTATTAGAGTTTGCGTTTTAAGTTTAAAAAAATTTCGGTGCGCGCATTTAAGAATCTACATACGTAGTATGTAAATTCTCACGAAATTACATTAGAAGCATCCAAGATCCAGTTTGGACGTTACGGCAAGTTCTCATCGGTATTTAGTTTATAAACTAATAATTATATAGATTTTTTTCGCAATAACTTTCTTAAAAATAAAAAAACCTGCTTAATGCACTTGACGCGAAACAGTTTCTAAAATTGTAGTAAAATCTTCTTCTGGATTCAGATGTAAAAGACGACAGGATATATTCCACAATTTTTCGGAGTATTGGTGGTTGTTTGCCATTCGATATGGAGTGGCAACACCGCAATTTCTAAAGATAAAAAAAAGATGTAATGCAAAATAAATTTATTACATTTACATTAAAAAAAAGTAAATTTTTGTAGAATATGTAATATATTCTTACGAATAATAAAGTCCGGTCTCATTGGCCACCTTTTCATCTATGGAACAATATATTGTCGTTTGCGCTCCTTGCTCAGCATTTTTATAAAACAAGTGAAAAAATATATTACAACAGAAAGTAAAACCTGGAAATAGTGCCTTATCACCATGCCGTGTTATTCTGGTCGGAATAATACCAGGATGTAAAGAGTATACGTTTATCCCATGAAGATTTGCCTCTATAAATCAAAATCATTGTGTAAGAGTTTATATATGTATATATTTTCGATATACATTTTTCCTTTATTGCTTAAATTAAATCATTAATGATTAATTAGTAATTAATATTATTAATTAAATTGGTATTAAATAAATGTCATTTAACATAATTCGTAATAATACGGTTTTTCGCCATACCTTTCAATTTACGAGCAAGTTCCTTGGTGAATAAAATGTTCGCTAATTTAGATTGTGCATAACTTTTGAACGACCCATACGATCTCTCCAAATTAATATCATCGAAATCTATATCAGCAACTATAATAGAAGATTTGTGTGCAACAGAAATGAAATAACTCTTCTAATCTTAGTACGATTGAAAAATGTTGATAATATTTGTAAAAGATATCTGTGCGTACAAGATGTTTAATGAAAAAACTGTACAAGGTAGATAACTCCAAATTATTCATATGAATTACTCGTATATTTACGATGTAATCTTATGATGTGTTACAAGTTTAAGATTTCTTTACAACACTGAATTTATAAACTCGCTCTAGATTATTCATAATATTATTAATAATCAAAATACATTGAATTATTAATGACGATGATGTCATGTTATAATAAAATCTAATAAACGAAAATCAGTCTCGTTTATTTTTAAAGTTAGTACAATATCACTTTACATACGGATATGTGCAAGTGATGAGACGTTGACTATCCTGCAATTGGGAGAAGACTTCTGCATTTTTGGCAACAGCAGAAGTGTTAAAAGAAAATGACCAAGATGGTTAACTTGTAGTGTCGTTTCATATCCATCCTCTGTTTTTTCGTATAATGGATAAGAAGCCACACCAGCATTATTTATGAGTATGTGAATAGCTGTTTCGTTCGTCAGCAAACTTTTAGCGCAATCTCTCACGCTCTTCAAACTACTTAGATCGAGAGAATAAATCGCAAGTTCACCTGCGTTATTTTTATATTCACTTTTGTTGACCCTAAAATAGCCATACATTTACAAACCACGTCAATCTTTCAAAATATAACAATTTAATTCAGATTAATATAGTTTGATGAAGAGAGACAAAGGGAAAATTAGACAAGTAGTAATTAACTTAATTGATTCTTATTTTACAAATTTAGCTATTTACCTTGAAGGTGGATTGTTTTTTATATGCTTAACTGCTTTATTTGCCATTTCCATACTTCTGCAAGCCAGAATAACTCTAGCGCCTAAATATAAATGTTATTTGTGAAAAAAATTATGTAATTCTAAATTAAAAAACGAATAATCAGAAAGCCAGTTATTTCAGTAGAAACATGAATATACTGTTTTTGAAATATTGTTGTATAAAATATGGTTATATGGTTATGTAACAATAATATACAATTTGAAATTTTCATTGCTTAATCAATAAAGAATTTATATTTTATTTATACTATATCTGCACGGAAAGAATGATTTTACCGCGCGCGATGTTTATAAATTAGAATACATTTAAACCAGAAAATAATTTTACTGGACCATCACAATAGATATAGAAAACTGAAATAAGATGAGAGCAATGTGCAGAAAATTTTGACATTTAATTTGACCGTCCTACACTATTATTTTAATAGTCTTTCCATATACTTGATTTCAAAGTTTAGAATAACTTAAAATATCATCTCAGTAAAATCACCTCTCGCATATAAATCTCTAGCAGTCTCTCTGCCGATGCCACTATTTGCTCCCGTTACCACAACAGTTTTGCCCTCAAGACGTGCTTTGCTCGTACACATTTTATTGAGAAACCACAACATCTTATAATGCTTCTTTATCGATGTTATTAGTTGATAATTTTTATTGGAAATCACTCACTATCGATTTCGCAGAAAGTACTATATTCGTTTTTGTACTGCGTTTTTCGTTGAATAGTTATGCACTTGTATGTTCATGTTCTTATATACTACTTAGAACCTGTAAATTTTATCCCACTCCTGGCTTTCGATATAAGTTACATCGAACAGTCGCAACTTACGTGATGCAAATTATACTTTACCAGTATTATTGAAAATCTTCGTCACAAAAGATGCTATGAAAAGATAATTTTTATCATGTAAATGACGAACGAAATTAAATAAACTTACAGAAAATTTTTTATTTCCGCCATAAGAGATGCTATGAAGAAAGGTAATAATTGATTCAATTTTGAGACTCGTTAGGAATCGACATTTATCTCGGACAATTTGGACTTGTTTTGTGAATATAAAATTAAATTTTTCTCATTATTGCTCGCTTTCTCCTCATATTATCGAATTATACATTATATAAATTTTATAGATATTTATATAACAATATTGATATAATATTTGTAGATATTTATATAATAACATGTAATAATATATATATATATATAATATACACATAATGTTTATATAATAATGCTAAATAGTAGAAATGCAAGTTATCAAAATATCTATTTCTATCGTTTAAATTTCAATAGAAATTTATAAAATGTTTATTTTGTAAATGTCACGAGAAAATATGTGCTATATTTGCCGAACTGAGTCGAATCAATTATCGTTATCCCAAATTACAATGCGAATAAATTTTAAGGAGAATTATAGGAAAGCTTTTTACGGCAATTACTAATGTACATATATTAAGGTTGTAATTTTTCATTTTACGAAAAAGATAAATCACACTTCGGTGACGA